GATTACAAAAATAAAGAATCAATCTGTAATAATACAAATGAAAAGATTCAAAAAAGTTTATAAAAAAATAATAACAAAATTGAAATTCGTTATTGAAAGAAATATATACTATTATAATCGGAAATGTAATCAGAAATCAATATTAAAAGAAAAAGATAAAATTTATTTATTTTGAAAAAATATCGAAACAAAAAGATCTAATACAAAATTGAATTACAAAAAACTCGGATTATTCAAAATCAAAAAAGTTAAAAAATTTTTGAATTATAAATTGGTATTATCAAAAAATATAAATATATATTCAATATTTCATATATTTTTATTCGAATTAATATTTTCAAAAACATTTAAAACTTTTGAAACAGAAATCATATCTACAAATCAAAATATTGAATACAAAATGAAAAAGATATTAAATTATAAATATATTAAAAACAAAATCAAATATTTAATAAAATGAAAAGATTATTTCGATTCCGAAAATATATAGGAATTTAAGAAAGAAATTAAATATTTAAAGAAATACTAAGAGTTTCATCGATAGAATTCAGATTTATCTAAAAGAAAGAAGAATTCATTGCTTTTTATAAAGAAGAATCGAAAGAATCGAATTCATTTATAGGAATTTCGTTAGGATTGGTAAGATCAATTGGTAATTGATCAAATTGACTAGGGGTTAATTGATCAAATTGATTAAATTGATCAAATTGATCAAATTGATCAGAAGAATCGGAATTAATAATAAATATCGAAGATATAATAATTTCCTTTTTTTCTTTTCTTTTCTTCTTTTTCAAAGCATTCAATTTATTAAGATATTTGAAATCTTGTTTAATCATTTTTTTATAACGATTTTACAAATAATCTTGTTGTTTTCGAAAACAAAGAATTTTAATTATAATTTTTTCTTTTTTTTTACGAAGTTTTTCCTTTTATTTATCTAAAAATTCTTAATCATTTATTCAAAGAATTTCTTTATCTTAATCATCTTTCAAACACTACTTTGTATTACAAGGGATACAAAATCGTATATATTCAGAACAATGAATCTTTTATAAATTATTCAGAATTTTTATACAACGAAGGTTTTCTATATAACAATAGATATACAGAATTATTTCGATATCAGAATTTTCGATTTCAATTATAAAATGAGATTTCTTTTTGTTTTTTCGACGAATTTTATTGAATTATAAATTATTCATAATAAGAAAAAAAATCAAAATATAAAACAATAAAAAACTAATAGATTATATACTAATTATAAACGATTAGAAACGATGTTTGGTTAAAAAAAAGATAATATTATGAAATCATTTTATAAAATGTTACAAGATAACAATTAATTTGTTTTTATAAATTTTGATCTTGTTGAAAAGCAAAATAATTTGTATATAAATTTGTATAACAATCGTTTTATATAATCTCTTTATTTTCAACAAACTCGGATATATAATCTGATTTTAGTTATATGATAAAATCTTTAGGAGTATAGGTTTCTATAAGCTCTTTGAAGCTTTTAAAAATATAGACTTTTGAAGACTTCCAAAATGGATTAGTATATAATCAGAATAGTTTTATAGTTTAGAAGTTTCGTATTCAATTTAATTATCAATTAGTTTATCTATATTCCAATTGATCTAATAACATATTCACCTTCGAATGGATAACCAATGATTATTAGTCTTAACCTATAACTACCAATCATACGAAAACCTGAGGCAGCCGCTGCCTCGACCAGATCGTTACAAGCGGCTGTCTGAAGTTTCGTATAATTGATAATTGTAAATTAAAACTAATAATTATTGATTATCTATTTGAAAATAAATTTTTTATTAAATCAATTAGAATATAAATAAACTAATTGATAACTAAATTGAATATAAAGTTTTTAAATTATAAAATTATTTTGATTATATACTAATGAATAAAAAAAAACTTTATAAAACTCAAAAGCTTCAAAAATCTCTTAAAACTTTAAAAGCTTTTCAAGTTCCTAAAACTTCTTATTATATAATTGATCCTAAAACTTCTCTTTTTCTGAAAAACTTATCCCAAAAGCTTTCTTTTAAAAACTACAATTTTAAAATACAATATCCTTTAAAGTAATTATCCTATTACAACTAATTAACTAAAACATTTATCTTAATCTAATATAATTATTTAGGATATTTATCCTAGAAATCCTGGGGGTTCTATTCGTAGATAATTAAGCCTCCTAAAAGCAACAGTTAAATCATACCCCCTCTATAATCAGTATATAAATCACTGACATCAATGATACTACTATAATCTAATCCGTGAATCGTGACACTGACTTCAATTTATGATTATATTCGACTTTACCCTATTGAGCTTAAACACAATGAAATCTTCCACTATTAGTATAAATAATAATAATAATATTATTATAATAATTATTATTTATCGATTAACCGCCTTCAAGATCTATATTAATAATGAAAGACTTAATCTTGTTTAAGCTCAATAGAGTAAAGTCGAATATAATCATAAATTGAAGTCAGAATAATAAAGTAGAGGTTTTATTGCTTTTTCTATTTTATTATTTCAAAGGATTCTTTGAAGAAAACCTTTGTATTTATAGTATTTAATAAAATTCTAATATATTCTATGATTATTAATAAGATCAATTTGAATCGAATCTTATAGAATCATTTCATATAATAAAAGGAAATAATAACTAATAATATTCAATCTAATAAATAAGAATTTTATATATTTTCATTTTATTCTATTCTTTTATAAATCAATTTGATATAAATTATAATTGAATTTTTATATAATAACAAAATTTAATAATATATATAAATATTATTAATATATAATATGATTATTAGATCATTTGTTCGGCTAATATTATTAAGTGATTTAATAACTTATTAAGAAATCTCATAATTATATTTTAAAATATAAGCCTTTTTAAACACTATGATCTTCATCAAATTTACTTGCGTCGTCTCTGATCATAGCACTGCATGACAAAAGAATGGAAAAGCTCTAAATGGAAAATGGAGGAATACCGAGTATAATTCCTCTTCTGTTCCAAGTATCCAAAAAGTAGCTTCTCATCAAAAATCCTCAGTTAATCTTACCTATCTTCAGTTAGGTAGTCACAGAGAGTAAATTCACTCTGCGCTTCCGAAGAAATTACCTGTCCTGAGATATGACACTTAACCGTATATTAACATCCTATACCGTATCAAGCCATCACCTCAAGTCTAAAAGTTGAACTTAAACTAAAAGATCTCCAGATCAGCAGTTTAAAATCCCTCAACCACCATCTCCAAGCTCTCACCAAAGAAACTCTACCCCAGTTTTCAACAACACCCAAAATGGATCTATCTACACCCGAATCCTCACCAATAACCATGAACCTATATTCCACCCCAGATTCTTCACCACAACCTATAAATCCATTCTCTACACCCGACTCTGCACCACCTGTCCCATCCCAAGCATACACACACGGCACCATAAGTGAACCCCCTCACCTTCTCCAACTGGCTCGACTCCCTTACCCCTCAAACCATAAACACCATAACGCAACTTACACTCCTCCCCTCCCAACATCTCGGGCGCATCACGTCTCTCTGCGCCCTAGGCGACACTTTAGGCGATTCCCTCGGCGACAACCACACCTACGCCGAACTCCACGTCTGGATAACCCTCCTATTGCGTCTCTCTAACAATTGTCCTAGTATCCGCTCCCTCAGCATTTTCTTTGCAGCCGATATGAGCGGAAATGATACTCACGGTTATAGAAGAGGTGCAGGTGCATGTCTCGGGTTTATATAGGCGATAGGATGTTTTAGGGGGTTGGAATGGTTGGAATTGAGAGGGTATTTTCCGGGGCAGTGTGGTTGGTATTTGAGGAGTCTTTGGGGAGATGGGACGAGGGTTTTTGATGAGCCCTGGGTCGGGGAGGAGGGGTGGAGGGTGAGGGGGTTTGGGTGGTAGGTGCCTTCTATGTGTAGGTTTTGCTTGGTGCCTTTTGTGATGTGGAATTTTGAGGTATGGGGTTGATATTAGTGTTTTGAGGTTGGCTTAGGGTTGCATAGATAAAGGGTTGGGAAATTGAACTTAGAAAGGAGCGAGGAGAGAGGGCGATTTATTTCATTTATCGGTATAGGCATGCGAGAATATATGCGGAATATAAGGATGACGAAGAGATTATAAGACATTATACAACATTTACTAATTTATTAAAATAAGGTTTCTATTTATATACATATATACATACATGTATAACCTGAATATTTCTGTATTGATTATATCATGGTCCAGACCGTGACATCATTCATTGATCTTCTTTTTCTGTCTTTTTCTTTTCATTTCCTTTTTAAAGAAAGTTAACCCTGAAAATTAATTCGCTATTGCATGATATGATATCGTTGTTACTCAATTATCTCTATCTAGCTTGTCTTTGTATACTTATACTAACTAATTGAGAGACAGAAACTTCAATTTTCAAGATTCTAAAAGCTTTCTAAAGGAAAAAGAAATTGATTCTTCGAATTTCTTGACAAAGATACCCCGATTAGACTGCGCAACAGGGCTCCGCGGAGCGGATTATTACTTTTGAAAGGTAATCTGCAAATGATCTATTTGTAGGATAAATAATTAAAGAATTTAAATGAATAAATTATTTATAAATAATATTTACTTAAATATTTCAAATTATTTCTATATTTTTTATATTAATTTTTATATTAATCTTTATAAATTATATTTATTTTATATAAATTGTATTTAATAAATAATCTGTAAAATAGATTATAGATTTATTAGATAACTTACAAAACGGATTGTTTATAGATATCTACAATCTGCGCGTTATTTTTGTATAGCCTAACCCTGACTCAAACCTCTAAGTAAATATAGTATCCTTCCCCCTCTCAATCCACAGTGACTAAAACAAAATCTTGAAAATTTATCAAAAATCAACCATAAACAAAATAATCCAATTCCCACCCTCCATCCCCACTCATCACCTCCATAATATCCGCATAATCAAGAGCATCATATCTAATACTATTCATACCCGCCATACGAAGACTCTATATTATCCCTGTAATTATAAGTAGATTCAGAAGATTGATCATGAAAGTTCTTATTTCTCCCGTAATTATTGAGGTGACCGTAGGAATTGCGGTCCTCGGACGGTTGCTCATAGTTAACGGCCTGGTCAAAGGTATTCTCTTCGTATGTGGGTTTGGAGGATTGGTCATAGTCATTGGATTGAACGTATACGTTACCGAAGCTTCTTCCTTGACTATATCCTTGCTGATTGAAGCTTTCATCTTCATCGGAGCGACTTGTATTTTGGTACTTCAAAGTTGAGGATTTTTGTTCCGTGGACTCATTGTTGAATTGATTGCTCTCATAGCAATTATTGTCAAAGCTCTGCTGGTCGTAACCTCCTGAATAAGAGTCTGTATTGTCTTGATAGATTGGTTTTGAGTCCTCGAGTGAAAGATTCTCTACCTCAGGTTGATCATCCTGGCGCTCCTCGTAGCTATTCCCGCCTTCATAGGAATTTTGACTATAGGTCGATTGAAAAGTTAGCTCCTCTGTTTCAGGTTCGTATGACGTTCGTGCTTGGCTTTCAATCTCCTGGGGTTCGTTCTGCTGGTAGCCAGTATTGTACGGATCGTCCCCTCCATTAAGTTGGTTGTATGAGGTTTCATCGAAGTTTGCTTCGTTTGATTGACGACCCTCATCTCCTCCATAGTTCTCTTCATATGGCTTATTTTCGTATGCTGACTCGACGGGGTCGCCTCCTTGTCCTCCATTATTGTCATAATCTCCTTGAAAATACTGATTCTCTTCATATCCAGGCTCAACACCGGTTTCTTCTTCTTTCTCTTCGCTGTTATCGTAGTCTTGATTCTCCCCAAAAGATCCTTGCCCATCGTAATTCTGCTTCGTACCATCCAACGTTTCATTGCCATATGTCTCGTAGGAAGCCGTTTGCTCATTATCTACCGGGTAGACTTGTTCTTCACCTGTAGCATTCCCCTCGATATTCTCAGTACCATCTTCAAATGTCCTACTTTCATCCTTATAACTAGTGCCCGACGTACCAGATTTTGGCTTAATAGTGGTAGAAGCATTGTAGTAGGAAACGCCCGTGTACATGCCATAGGTAGTATTTTTCGCACCGGAATCCTTAGCCTTCCAGATCATTTTGAAAGGCACTGAGATTTCCATCTTAGTAGCCGTCAAAGTAGCCACGAACGTGCTATTTTTTGGCACCTTAAGAGCTTGACTAATACCCCATTTCGTCGTAACGGTATTTTTCTCTCCCCACCTCCATTCATTTTTCGTACTTCCCTTGACTTCCAATTTGCCCGTCCAAATGGGCCATGCTTGGACCTTGATTTTCTGAGAAATGGAGATTTCAAAACCATGCGAGTGCTCAAAAGTGTGCTCTTCCGCCTTATCTTCATTGTATGTGAATGTCTGAATTTGCTCTGTATCCGATGCATTTTCCAAGTCCTGTTGAGCAATTGCAGCGGGCTTCTCTGATGACTTTTTCCCAGCTTTGATATCATATTCGATACTTTCCACCCCCATGTCTTCGAAATTCATCAAGAAATGTTGATCCTCATTATCGGGTGAACCATCGTCTTTGAGTAGGATTCCATCAACTTCCGGCTTTTTGTCGGTGCGCGAGGCAAGAGCGCAATTTGCCGATGGACAATGAATGCGAAAAGTGCCGTTACAATTGGGAAGTCTGGTCTCCTCAAATACAAACCAGTTGTCCGCCCATTTTCCGTCGTCATCAATACATCCCGCCCGACGATTCTTGGAGCGGCACCAAATCACGCGACCAGTAGTAACATTCTTGATGATGTAGCTGTTGGTTTGACCATTAGCTGGGATAATTCTCCACCAATGTTCCGCCTTGGCTGGATCTTTATCGGTATGGCAGAGTTCATTGTCATCTGCTAGGACTTTACCAGTCTGTTGAAAAGAAATAATGTTAGATCGGCACTCTAAGAATTTGTCTAAAATGGAAAGTGCATAGTGACCTACCCTTTTGCTCACGAATCGCACATAAGTCTCTGGGCTTGGTAATTCAACAACCATTGTGATTCTTCTTTTGATATCTTGACGAAGGTTCTGTGTTGGCAATAGATTTTGTTGGGTAAAGAAGATTTGTTAGAAGTCTGGATATCGGATGAATGTGACCTGGAGTCTGGAGCTATTGACCAACGGCAACTTTGGCGGTATATATATGCTGCTAAAGACGGAATATCCCTAGAGGTAGCGCAGCGAGACATCTTTCCTTGTTGACGCAGTCGTCAACCTACGACATGTCGAGAAGAATAGTGTAAGATCTCATCTTAGAAGATGAAAGCATTTCAGCTAGAGCCAGGAAATAAAATCATAGCAGTCCAAGGCTTTGGCGTTGAAAGCTGGTGACAATTGAACGAAAAACTCATAATCTGTAGCTAGATAGCCAATTTCTAGGCTCATAGTCGGCGCTTCGCTGTCTCCTTATGAAAGATAAATCTGCAAGTAGCCTTTGAGCCTTCACCTACGGCTTACATAAGACCATTGATCAATATATAAACGGGCAGTAACGCCGGCGAGGTCGCCGATGACGTTCTGGAAGTTGGTCCGAAGTACAATATGCAGAATACGGCGAGAGTATACTCGGTATTTGTAGAGTCTTGGCGAAGGAGGTTATAGTGTGGGCTAACTTTAATCATACGACGTTTTAAATACAATAATATGAGAATGTAAATACCAAGCTGCTGCCAAGATATGAGCTTTTCAATCCTTGACCGTAGTACAGAAAGATTCTAACAGACTCCCCGTATATCGTTGACTTCAACGAATCGTAAGGATAGCACAGGGGCAGCAGTTTCTGTGGGCAAAGTGAAAGAAAGACTTTCTTTTGTTGTGTTATTAAACAGAATGGAGAGACGGATGGTGGATTTTCTCTACGAAGTATTTTCGCTTTGGCTTTGAGCTGCGGGAAGATATCGTACGAACGCTACTGTTTAAGCACAGCCTCCGCCATCCCTCTTAACCTTGACAATGAAGACACTCGAATGTCTCACATAACCATTAGGCTTGTATCCCCAATAGTTCTGCTGAGGGAAAATATCCAACCACAATTAAAGGCGTTAACTGGTGAAATTCAACTAGTGAGAATTACCACCAGCGACCGAAGAGATTCCACGGCTACTTACAAAAAAGGTTGAAATGATATCCTCGCATATTAGGTAGGCACTTGATACAACTCTTTGCCGAAAATATACGTGCAAAGGTATTCATTCAAAGGTGCTCGCTTTGGATATTCACTCAAGGTGCTCGCTTTGGATATTCACTTTAAGTATTCATATAATATATTTGCTTAAATTATCTGGACGATGACACATGGTTTTAGGAGAAGATAAAGTTGATTTGTTATAACGCCAAGTTCCCGCCAAAATCCCTCTCTTGCAATTTGAGATGAAAAATTGGCAGACGACAGACCCTGTTTATTATGCTAATGTAATACTCTAATAATCAACACTAGCGACGTGCGAACGCAGCCTGCTTCCCTTGAGTCCATTCAAGTACCCGACATAAATGCCTTTAGCTATTTCTCTTTTACTCAATTGTGGCACTTCCCCATTTCACCGAAAACTTTGTCCGACCAGTCTCCTAATCCACCACCATTTATTTCATCATCTTTGCTATGAAAGGATGCTTTAGTGCTTCCGTAGGTGTAATTCTTTTCTCTGGATTAAGTGCCAAGCATCTTTCCAATAGGTCCCCGAACAATGTCAGCTCTTTCTGCTCAACCTCTGTCAGCCCCTTTGACGCAGAGATTAGACGAGTACGAAGGTCTCTGCTTGGCTTTGCAAATGCCATCGTCTTAACTATATCCTTGCCGGTCAATTTGTCAGGCTCAACACTCCTGAAATTCAGCATGTCATCAAAATGAACGCCTGCAAAATCAGCCTTTTTAAGCATCTTGACCGAGAATTTACCGCGACAGTCCATAATAGAGCGCAACATTTGGTTATTGGATCTACCAGTAAAAAGAATTTTACCAGTATACAGCTCATAGAGGGTACATCCAATAGACCACACATCGATGGCAAAGTCATATTTCATGCCAAGGATAATTTCTGGTGCACGATAGAAACGGGAAACAAGATAGGGAGTGATCTCATTGTCAGTGGCGTCAGAAGCTGATCCCAAATCACAAATCTTGAGCATATTTCGAGTTTCATTGACCTAGTGATGAATCAGAAAAGAAGTTCTATCATCTTAAACTAGACTTAAAATTGAACTTACCAGAATGTTATCAGGCTTCAAATCCGCGTGCAAAATATTGCACTTCTTCATCAAACTGAGTCCGAGGAACATTTGCTGGGCATAAGCTCGCACTGCTCTGAGGTTGATACCGACGTTGTTTCCAAATTTCTTCAGTACCTCACGTAGATTGATACTCAAATGTTCGAAGACCATACACAGATGACCTTTGTGCTCGAAGTATCGTTCCAACCGTATCATATGTTTCTTATCCTCCGGATCTGCATCATTGATCTTTTGCAAAATCTCGATCTCTTTCATTCCAGCTTTTCTCCTACGATGATATTAGCTTATGATAGTTCGAATAATTATATACCTACTTACATTGTCTCGTTACTCCTAATAAGCTTGATTGCAACCAACTTTTTTGTGGTGATGTCCATAGCACGAACTACACCGGAGAACATACCTTTTCCAAGGTTTGCTTGAACGTGATATCTACCATTCAAAAGTTCTCCCAGGATAATTTTGTAGTAACCCTCAAGGTCATCCCAATTATCAAGCATGCCTATGTCGAGCTCCTTGGCCTGTGGAATAGGCACTGCTTTAGCAACATCACCGTTCGTGACAGCTTGAGGCTTTTCATCTGCAACTGAGTCTTCGGCAAACATATCATCATCGTCATCGTCTGCGAACATGTCAAATTCATCCCTAACTTTCCGAGCCTTGACTTCAACGGGCACAATTGCGACTGGAAGGAGAACATCTTGCTCAGATGTGGGATTCGTTTCATTGTACGTTCCGGACGATATCTCATCAATGTGTCGCTGGCCGTCGCGTTGTCTATCTTCTCTCATATCCACAGTTGGATCATAATCTGCAGCCGAAGGTCCATCCTCTTCACCTGCTGTCGAATTTCCATGGGAGTTGACAAGGTCCTGATCGTCAGTGATTGCGAACGCGGAAGGGGATCCTGGATCCATAGGAGTTGCCGGTGTCGAGACTGTGGGCGATGCTAGGGCAAACGAATTAGAGAGGAAGTTGCGATACAGTGTAATATGCTTACCGGTTGGACCTGAGGGGCTATCATCTTCACCTGGTCCAGGAGTGGATCCTCCAGACTTGTCACCTAAGTGCAGAGCCTGTACTAATAAGGGTGTGCCAGAACCTCTATACTTAGCTTTGATTGCTTCGCGACGTTTGCGTCGTCGCTCTATGAGTGTAGCTTCATCGACTTGCTCTTCTCCAACTTCCGTATGAGCTTCCTCTGCAGGGGTGGATCTGAGCTGAATTAGTAAATGCTGAGAATGGAAGGGGTGATAAATAGCGTACATTTCCATCGCAGTTCCATTACTCTGAAAATTATGCTGTTGCAATTGCCCTTGAGTAGTTTTAGCCTCGTATCTTGAATTATCAGTAGGCAGCGGGCCCTTTTCCCGATTGCTCACTGACTGGTCTCTTGAACTTCGGTATGAACCTCCATACCCGTAAGGTTTGTTCCTATCAGAGTAATTACTATACCGGCTGCCATTGTTCATCGCCTGTCCTTTTCGTCCATTTCTGTCGTCCCGGTTAGCTCGGTAAGGCGAACGACTTCTGGTTCGGGCTCGTTTTTCGGCATGCCTATCTCGATGATCGTGATCATCATATCGTAATTCAGATGAGGTTGCTGGTCCTTTATCGATGTCTTCGTATGAAACTTGCGGGCGGCGTCTATAGTCTTGAGATGAATTTTCGTAATGAACTTTAAATCGTCTTGGATCGTTTCTGCTACGGTCTGGGTGGTCGTCATCTCTAGTCCTCTTCGAGCCTCGAGAGTATCGGTCGGAATAAGGAGAACGGCTTCTTTGGTCTCTGGATCTATATGGTTGTTCAGGGGAGCGTGGTGACATAGAAGTCGTACTAGAACGGGTTCTGTCTTGACGGTCAACGGAAGTGCCATCGAATGTACGCAGCGACGTAGTTGCCTTCTTCCCCACAACTCCACCTCGAATCTCGCCCTCATCAGAGCTTGCTGGTGATGATGTCATATTTCCTTGTTATGATCGTAAGGACGTTAAAGTCCTCTGCCTTATGTTTGGATAATTTGTGTCAGCCAAAGAGCACAAAACAAGATCCCAAAGTGAGAAGAGCCCAACCGGTTATCTCTCAGCGCATAATCTTCTTCTTTGCTTTTTGCCTTGACAGTGTAGTGTATTAATGGAGGGTGATTCCCAGTATAAATAAACGAAGCTGGAAGATGGTGAAGTGTCAATTATAAGTTCGACTGCCAAGTTGTTGCTATGCCGTGAATTTGTACAACCGCGATTGATAAATTCATGACGGACAGTTGCAGCTATCAAATCCAAAATTCGCTAATCTATATGAAGACTAGCGTGATCAGACACTCCTCGTAAGCCATTCTTTAAAGAAAACCCGCAAAAATCCCCTTCCCCCGCCAAAAAGTGCATCGAGAAGTCCAGAATAATTCCGCATTTCTTCCCACCGAAAAGACGATCTATTTTGCAAGGAAACCACCCAAGATTCCGATAAGCCTAATTCAAAATGGGAGGAAGTTCGTATAATCTTGTTCATCTTTCATAGCCTTGCATGACACTGACCAGAATTCGCAGACGGCACAAACCCTATCCACAACAAAGTGAAGAAGAAGGTCAAGGTTGAGGATGATGAGGAGACCATCGCCTTCAAGTTGAAGCAGAAGGAGGGTACGTGAACTCCTGTTCGCATTATTTCAAGTCAACATTTCACTGACTTTTTCCTTTCATCAGACAAGGCAAAGCAAGACAAATTAGCCAAGGAGATTGGTGGCCAGAAAGGACCCTTGAAGACCAAGTCGCACGGCATTTCCGGCAGCGGTGGTAAGGGCAAGAAATAAATGAAATTCGGTTCTTTGCGCGAGGGATTATTGAATTTGCGAGATATTTGAGCACAGGCGTGGATAATACGGCGTATGGGTTTAATGGAGGAAGATTTCAGACGTGCGACAAGACTCTGAGCTCTGAACATGGGGAAACATTTATCACGAAGGGTTATTCGACATGCCAAGGCATATTCTGAGCAATCTACACTGATCTAGAAGCTATGGTGAAATGCAGCCATGTGTCAATCATGACTTGTTTCTATTCCCAACTGCGAGTGATGGCTACAACCTCGCCGTTTACAAGCCGATGGAATTCTTCCAGACTGTGCCGTTGTAACCCATGTGTGATTTTGGAAAAGCATACCGAAGTTCTTGCGCCTTCATCCTTTTCTCATACTTGAGTATATTAGTATTCAAGTGTGGATCAATGCGGAATGTGACGCCGTCGCCGGTCACCCGCCTCATAGCCGTAAATCCCCTTCGGACACAGCCGCAGTCTTGGTACTCGCTCAATATTCTTGACCAACACCATTTATCACGCATTCCTAGTGCTTTTCCAATACACTCATTCTCTGATATTATTACTGTCCGTATCATGTCGCGTTTGCAGACGAGAATCACGCTCAGCCTTTGCCTTCTTCTTAGCTTTCGCCTTCATAGCTTCCCTGGCTTTCACTTGTTGCCTTGCGATACCAATCCTACCTGCGTTCTCCCAATTTTCGGCAACGAAATGTTTGACCAGCTCAAGATTGTAGAAGCCCTTCTCATCCTTCATCGCAGCTGCCGGTACACTTCCGTCGTATAGCTCTCCCTCCATGATGATACCCTTCATAACCTTCGTAGCTGCCGACCTCATTTGGTCATTTACTCCATCCACAGGGATATTGCCCTTGATACCATCGTTCACCAATTCGACTAGATGTCTTGCAAGATTCCAATCGTGTTGCCTGGTTTCGTATTCCTTCTTGACACCAAATTTCTCAAAAACTTCATCTCGAATTTCTTCCCTCGTGATTTTAACATCGCTGTACTTGCCTTCCTCGCGACACTGAGGTATAAACTCATCTACCCAGGCTCTGAAGATAGGGCGTTTGGCCAATCGTTGTCGATCATTATGTTTTAGCTTTTTCTTACCTTCTGCTCCGCCCTCTTGACCGGTGACATCTCCTTCTGCTTCGTCTTCGACCACATCTCTGACCCAAAACATTCGGCAGGAAGCAGCGTATTCAAACATTTCCTGTTGGGTGTCGAAACGTTTCCACCATCTGTCCTGATCTAAGCCTAAGAAGTCGAGAATCTTGCCAGGATCATCAGTCAGGAATACCATGCTCTTCTTCCTATCAGCCAACTCGATTTCAGGATTCCTGATGAATAATCCATGGTTATTGATGGTAAGTCCAAATCTTCTGATCGTTGTACCAATTATGTTCCATAGATCGCCATGGGCTGAATGGAATAACTCCCATTCGAATTCATGGACATCTTTACATGTATGAACATCGACCTGAATATACCATCTCTCTGATGCATTATCTTTAAACTTGGTCAGATTCTTCCCAATCTCGCCTACCATGTTTTTGATTGATTCATCTGGCTGAGGAACTGCAAAATTGATAGTAGGATTGCCTTCAACTTGGATCCAGGCTACTGCATTCAAAGCTTTCTTAAGTCTGTCTGCAACTGATTCTACTGGAGAGAACGCATTTTTCAAAGGCGAGGTAACAAGAATATCGACATCTCCATAAGTAGTCTTGCCAGGTCCCTCGATAGCACTTGCAACTTTGGAGTAGAATTTTCGTAAAATAGCTTGACTTTGTTTGAGAGCTTTATCGTAGACTTCCTGAGTCATACGGGGCGTGTGGATGGGCGGGACATGAGAGGCAAAAGCCTGACCTCCCATTCTAACAAAAGTCTGCAGCATAAAAATAAAACGAGACGGGAATCAATGAAGAGCAGCTTCCTTGCTTAGATAGAACGAATATTGAAGATAAATAGAAGGAATGCATCAACTGGGTCGGTAGGCACACTCTATAAGTCACCAAAACAACGACAAACAGTGCTGTGCAAACCTGCTTAAAATTTATGATAGAAGTCATATAATTCGGCTCTCTATGACTCAGCGGCCTGTCGTACGGGAGAGCGAGTTGTCCCTGTATACAATTTTGGTGGGATACTCGGATTGCCGACTGCAACAATAAGCAACTGAATTAGAGACCCAACTATTAGGTTACAAGCCTGCTTTTGGAAGAAAGAAAAAGGAAAAGGAAAAGGAAAAGGAAAAGCAAGACCAAGCCAAGCCAAGCAAAGCAAAGCAAAACAAAGCCAAGCAAAGTGAACCGAAAAGAAAGCGAAAGTCATAATTATAATACCTAACAAACGAAAATAAAAATCGAGTTCAAGATATCTTATATAGTAAATATAAGATCTTACTTATAATTCTTTGCAGTAGAAATCTTCAAAGCGGTCACAGTTGAATGAGCCTTTTCTGCTTTTTCTGCCAAAATGCCAATTTGTTCCCGATCGGGATTTACCAAGGAGATTAAATGATTAAGAAGTCACCATTACAGCATTCTCTTTGCGATACTATTTAATTGGTTAAGAAACCAGAAAGAGTCGTCATTACTCGAGTACTGCGCCTCGACATTCTCAAATGGCAGGCTTTTGTGATGATTCTAAGCGCTATATCACTGGTCACCCCCTCATTTGACCACTCACCACAGCCCCGAGGATTCTGAATCTTAGGTTCGCCTTCTACAGAGCATAGTGTTATATATAACTGCCGAACCCTTCTGCTCTACCTACTTTTACTTGTTTACTACTAAACCTTTAGCAAACTTACATCTGCAGGCACACAAATTCCTTACAGAGCAGTAGCACTCAAAAGATGTCATATCAAAATTATCCACCTTATGGTGCGCCCGCTGCTAGACGTAAGTACATTCCCCGCTCTCGTTTGCGACAATATATAACTGTTAGCACAGTTGCCCCGCAATCTGGATACCCGCCACAAATACCACCTTCTCGTATGTGAATGGAAGTACGCAATCATACATGGTCAGTCGTTGACTTCAAAGTAGATTCCCCTCAAGCATATCAGCAATATCCTCCAGCACATAGCCCATATCCTCAGAATCAACCATATGGCGCTCCTCCTCAACAGCAACCATATCCGCCGCAACAACCCTTCCAACAATACCCTCCTCAACAGGGTTCCTACCCACAACAGCAACCCTATGGCGCACGTCCGCCAGGTCCTTATCCTCCACCGCAACAATCGCCCTACCCCCCGTCGCAAAGTGGATATCCCCAGCAATCATATGGCGCTCCACCTACCCTCCCACAGCCTCCATACGGCGCGCCAATGAGTTTTGGACAACCTACGCCGCCATCGGCTGGGTATGACCTAAATTTACCAAGCCCTCCGCGCATACCCTACGATGGACGCGCAGATGCGCAGGCCTTGCGCAAAGCCATGAAAGGTTTCGGCACAGATGAAGCGACTCTTATCGAAGTTCTGCATAATAAGGGACCTTTGCAAATAGAAGTTCTGCGACAAGCTTTCTATGATACCTTCAAAAGGAAACTGTTGGCAGATGTGGAAAGTGAGACAAGCTCGTACTTTAGGGAAGGCCTCGCTGCAATTATTCGCGGCCCTTTGATACAAGATTGCCACTTGCTTTTTAGCGCCATGGATGGAATAGGCACAAAGGAGAAATACTTGACTGAAGTCTTGATGGGCAGGTCAAATGCTGATATTAATGCGATTAAGACGATGTATCAACGACGGTACAACAGGAGTCTGGCAAACGATCTCAAGGGCGATTTGAGTTTGAAGACCGAGGATCATTTCTTAATGGTATTGGAGGCCAATAGAAACGAGGATAGTGCCCCCGTCATGACTCGAGATGTCGAACGCGATGTAGCAGCTATATGGAATGCGACAGAGGCCATACGTGGACATGAAGCAAAGACAGTTTGTGAGATATTCACCAAACGAAACGATGCCCAGCTTCGAGCGATCAATCATACATATCAGCAACAGCATGGAAAGCCTTTGGAATGGGTTATCAAGAAGGTGAGTAAACTTATCGCAAGCATTTCGGGACAATTTCACTGACTCTTGGCAAGAAGTTCAGCGGCCATATGGAGGATGCCCTTCTCTTTCAACTTCGCACAGCTACGGATAAAGCTATGCGTGATGCAAATCTCATGGAGGATTCAATGAAAGGTTTTGGCACCAAAGACAAATTACTTGTTGCTCGAGTTGTCCGATGTCATTGGGATCCAAGACATATGGACCAAGTCAAGGGTGCATATCAGCACGCTTATGGACGATCATTGGCCTCCCGAATTTCTGCGGACACAAGTGGTTATTATGAAAAGTTGATGGTGAAGTGCGTCGAATGCAGTAATCTGGTTCAGCCGGGTTATTCATGGTTTTAATTATTAGCATTAATAATATGGTTTCATTTGGGTTTGATTTTGCCACTTATTGGTATGGCGTAAGATTCAAAGGTATAGGGATACGGTACTTGGATGAAGGGATAAGATTGACATAGAGGAAAAGGGATATTCACAAGTGAGCAATCACGAACTTTTCGGATGCAGATTGGCCTAGTAATTCTGCGGCGTTTTCTTTGGACCGGCTTGGTGGGAGGACATCAGGACAATCTGTGCAACAAATTTATTTTAATTATTACTGCGACATCTTAATAGGTAGCAGAAGCAATAAAAGTGGTTTTTTTAACATCTTCCTAAATATATTAAGTGAGGTAAGATAATAATACATGTCCTCCGAACATAGCCACGAAATTACTTTAGAAATGCCACCTTCCTATTATCTTTAATTGAGTAAATAATACCAGGAAGAACTTATTTCAGCCACCCGCTTCGTAACTGATTTCATTATGAACGAGGGTTATTAATATATAGGTTGATAAAATGGGGAGTATAGGTAGTTCTGAATCATCAACAATTCGATTTTAAGAACTCCTCGTATCAGGATTTAGATGTCTGTTTATATCTGGACGTATGGGTTTCAGATGCTATGCAATGCATCGAAGGTGCCTTTGAACTTCAACTACCTACCAAAATAAGGTTATAAGCCGCTCTATACGTTCTTCTATGATTCTATTACTTATTTCAACCCTCAATGAAACCGATTCACTTATATTCACCCAAACTTTGCTTATCTGATGATGATTGATATGAACAACCCTACTCGAGTCAGTATCTCGATGATTATCTGGTTTTCAATTCCATGAGCTAAAATACATTATTTTCAATATCAATGAATATCAATCCAATTGGATCGACCGCTTACATATCTCAAATACTTTCTAATACAGATCTCCTCTATATTTAGCTAGACGTTCTTCAAAATATCGAAGTGTATTGATTTGTTTAACATTATCAGATCTAAAGATGCTTTTAAATAATCATATTCTCATCTCTTTTTAATCTGTTTCATTTTTTATTTACTTCTCATTTTTAATTTAAAATTTAGTCACTATATTAAAAACAAATAGACAAGGGTCTGATCACGCTAGCAGGTTTAAACTTCGTTTATTAAACCTCTTTTACTTTATAGTATTACTTCTTTCTTCTTCTTCTCTTTTTCATCATTTAATTATTTAGTTCTCTATTCATACTCATGAACTTTATCAATTTTACACTTCATTCTTGATAACTCTAACGACAAGTAAAGTTGAGTCCAAAACTAAAGTTCCTCGATTAATACGGTCCATTGTAAGTATTTTCTCTTACTGCAACATTTTTGATACGAACGTACATCTCAGACTCTCGGCAATACGTTCATTCCATTCGTTTTGCATAATCTTCTTCAGATTAGAAATACTAAATGCTTCTCAATATAGATCGATCATTCCTTGTTAAAAATCAGCTCTTGCACGCTTGCGACATCTTTAGTTTTCAAAGCACTTATTGAATCTTCAATATCCATCTTCTGTATCAACCCATCCCACAGGTACTTGTTCCTCCCTTCGATTCACTCCCTTTGATTTTCAACCAATTACACGAGTCCAATACATCATGATCACATGATACATTTGATTAATACTTGTCAATCATAGGGATAACAAATTCACTTTTGCTGTTCTCTACTTCTAGATCCAAACGATCTAATTGTTTATTTATTTTCAAAACAACTTCTCCATCAAGAACCCAAAAGTTCAAGCTTTGACTCCGATCAATTCAAACCTATTCTTTTTCAACACGTGAAGCACACGTGAATAGTAGATCAATACCAAATGGCTCCTCCACGTCCCAACGAGAGTGATGACGAGTCTGAGCTGTCAGATGTTGATGTTAGTGAGATACAAAGTGTAGCTCTTTCAGATACACCGAGATCTGCAGCAAAGCGATTCATTTCAGAATCCCCTGAAATCGCCGAGACGAACAGGGATCTCGAGTCTCAAACCATTGCAGCATCATCAAATGGGGGGGAAAATGGCGAAATAATCGATCTTGATGAGCGACCACAATTCCAGGAAAAGGGTGACCAAGAAGAGGGCTTTATGACGGCATCTGCGTCTCCGAAGAATATTAGGTTGTCAATACAGGGCACTGGGCGCCTAGGCGAGAAGTCCATCACAGAAATGGACCCTAAAATGAGCACCCCTGAACAGTCATCAGACACTCTAAAGAGAAAGTCATTCACAATTGAATCTCCGAAAAAGGTTACTACGGGTCCTAAAGGCAATAGGTCACATATTGGTTCAAAGTTCATTACCCCAAGGGGTTCCTACATACCACCACCCGCTCCAAAGGCCGATGAAGAAACTGCTCGTTTAAGGGAGGTTTTATTGCATGTATCAACTGAGGCTACTCAAGCAATATTGCGTGAGCAGTGGAGAAACTTCCTTTTTACGAATGCAGAGGATTCACACATTACATTCATTCTTCGTGCCGGGTTGAAAAATGCCAATCCAAATGTTCTTGTGCGCATTCTCAAGGACGCCGGTGTTATGAAGGAAGCTTTTGTTGAAGTTGTCTCTGCCAAACAACCCATTGTCGCCAGGGTCCTCAAGAATGCGTCTGCAAATCAGCTCGCAGATCTCGTACCTAGTAAAGTTCTCGATCAGGCTTTGTCTGAACATTTGAAGAGTGTTCCGGCAAAATCTCTCATACGATGGCTGGCTGAAGCTGATAGACTTGGTTATACCCTTGACGATATTTTGGATGAGAATGATGAGACCGTCGTGCCACACATACCAAGTAGGGCGCAAAGTCATGATGGCGGTGATACAGAAATGATCTATCAGGCACCAAGGAATCCCGAACCTCCATCTTTGGATCCTCTAGTTGCTGAGCAGCAACGAATCATCGCCGTTCAAAAGGCTCAAATTGAAGCTCGAGCGCATGTACTGGATGATTTACGATGCCCTACCTGCACCTATAAGTTTGATACCATAAGAGGATATAATTATGTGAGTCTTGAGTTATCTTAATTTTCTGCAAAGCTGACAGTGATATAGCATCGATCAAAGAATATTTGTACTAGAAATCAGCCTCCAGGGTTGAAGTTTTACTGCAGTAATTGTGCCCAGGGCTTTACAACGAAGCAAGGAATGCTCTACGTATGTTTTATCTATGTCACTTGAGAATTTTGCTAACTTGCCAAAGCATGAAAAGAAGCGCGTTTGTCTTGGGGAAGAAGGGCAAGATGATGATGAAGCCATTTTTCAAGACCACCTGGACCGTCCAAACCCGGTGGCGAATCCTTCAAATACTCAATATTTAACAGATGTTAAAAACCAATCGTACGTTGACCACCCTCACAATCCAAGCATTCCCGGACCAACGCACAATATTCCTCGTCCACCTCTACACACTCCAACAATCTCTAAGCATATATCAACAATCATCGCTGCCTCTCCTTCGGATGAAGCGGCTCGTCAATCACCATCCGAATTAACTCCCGAGAAACGTGCTGCTCTAGAAGCTGCTCTTCAAAGAGTAGAAGAAAAATACGCCGAGGACCAAGCCAGTATCCCGGACGATTGGCCTGCAGATAAACGAGAGGCACGACTTATTTCTCTCAAAAATGGAAACGCATCCCGTAAATCACAAATCCGCAAATCATTTGGTGTTACTCTACGTATGCGCGACAAGGATAAGGAGGCAAAGAAAAGACGTGAGGTTTTAGGCACAAGTTCTCCATTAGTAACTGCGGGAATAAATCGCATTGGGGATTCGCAAAATTCACCAATGGCTGATTATTCAATGGGTGGTCAGCAAGTGCATCAGGGGCAAGCGCCGACAGGTGTAAGAATGGAAATGGTGGATATGAGACCTGCTACAGGCTTTTCGCCAATCAATGCTCAACCGCAACATTATTCATATTCAAAAGCACCAGAAGGTCCCTATCCTGTACCCCCTGGAACTCGAGGTTTTCTTCCAAGCTTTCCACCTACACAACTACCTTCCTCGCACCCACGACCTGGCTCGGATCATCAAGATAATTCTCATGGATATGATGGAATTCGAGATTCAGAGGATCATTCAAATAAAAGATTGAAACTTAATTCGAATGCAGGAATGGCACAAGCAGAAGACGAAAGAAGTCGACATTTTGCACCGTCGACTCCAGCGTCTATGGGAATGCATGAGAGAAGTGCTTCCAGTTTGAGAGTTAAAGGTAAAGTTGGGACTCATGATAGATCTGGAATGCTCATGCTGGATAAACAAAGACCCGGTTCTGCGGGCACGGGCGGGATGATGAATGGGAGTAGGCCTAGTTCTGCGGGATCAGGTGGGGTGGGAAATGTGCAGAGGCCTATTAAGAGAGTACCAGTCGGGGCGATTCAGAGGAGATGGGAGGCTTTGAATGGGAAGGGGCCCGGTAGGAGGGCGGAAGTTAGCGTTTCGACAACCGGGGTTTCGGGTGGAGTTGAAGCTGGGGCTGGGGCTGGGGATGGGGATAAGCTGATGAGAAGTGTAGAGGAAGATGGGAGAGAAAATGAGCAAACCGAGGATAAAAATGGAACTGCAGATATAACCACGGTAGGAAAAAGTAAAGGTAAGGAGCCAATAAGCGAGAGAAACGTCGTCGATTTAGTTAGTGATGAGAGTGCGAGTGAGGGAGGAACTGCTGGTATTAGTGGGGATGATAGTTAATTTTCTAGGACTGAAGAAAGAAGTATAGAAATAATAATGATAGTATAAATATCTTTTGATATAAGCGAATATGAATTTACTTTTTTATTTTTTTTTTTCTTTTTATTTTTAATCTTTTATTTTTTATAATAAAATAATAAAATAATAAAATAATAAAATAATAAAATAATAAAATAATAAAATAATAAAATAATAAAATAATAAAATAATAAAATAATAAAATAATAAAATAATAAAATAATAAATTGAGATTAAGATTTAAAAATTAAAAAAAAAATAGATTTTATAAATGTATTTATATAATTATTTATATTATAAAAAAGTTGAGATTATAAGAACTTAATTATATAATTTTTCATAATTAGATATAAAAAAGATTTTCACTCTTTTTATTATATAATCAATCAATTCTTTATATATTATTTTTCAAATTCAAATCGTTCTAATCTCAAATCTATTGCTATAATATAATCTAATCAGCTTTCCTCCTTCATTTCCCCTTGCAGTGTACTATTCGGATGTATGTATCTCGACTCACTCTCTTTTACAATATGATTATTTGATATGCATATTCTATCTATTATCATCTAGGTATTATAGATATTTGAGTACGAGTATGGAGTGCCCAGTGCAGACTATGGAGTGTGGAGTGTGGAGAGGGAAAGTTGGAGTTGAAGGGTAGTTGAATGAAGATAGAGATTATGATTATCGCTTGTTTGTATCTATTGAGACTTACCAAAAAGTTATAGATGAAAATTCACTATAGATTAGATCAATCTTTAATAATAATCATGATTATCTTCTTTTTGATATTCTTTAATGACCTCGGGATACAACTAAGTTGTGTGCTATCTAATCAGATCATAATCATCCATCTCCTTCTCGGCAATTGGATCTTCAATGATATCTAATACGATTGATATCTTATCAGATCACATTTACTCTTCCCCACCATTCATCTTCTCTTCTTCTTCCTTTACAAGTTTCTCTCCTCCCGTTCTTCCCTCCCTTCCTTCCAATCCATAAACCTTACCTCACTACTTCCTCACTTCCATGTACACAAAAGCCGACACCACCAAACATCTTCACCAAGCAAAAAGCACCAAATACCAAACATCTCATCTCACCCACCACCCGGTTAAATATAAATAAATAAATAAATCAACCACTCCAAATACCAATTCCAACTCCCAACTTCAATCAATCACTCCTTCTCTTTTAGGCAAGTACCAAGGTTAAATACGCGGCCAAATATTCTAATTCTTGGAATTCTCTTGGGAGTTTTTCTTGGGTTGTATTTATGGTGTTTATTGGGATATGTTAAGATGTGTTAAGGTATATTTGAGAAGGTCCAAGAAAATACCAAGAGAACCAAGGGAATTAAGAGATGGATTGGAGATAGGGAGATAAGATAATCGATAATCTTAATTGAGATTCAAGAGATAGGTTATTTTGCCATTTGGGGTGTTTAGATGGATGGATAGAGGTTGGGATGGGAGATGGTGTAAATATTTACTATTTAGTACCTAGGTAGTGAATAGATAGGGGGGTATTTTTTTTGTGATAGAGAATATATAATGGAATGTGGATCACTATAGATAATTATAGGATAACGTTGTCTAACATGGGATTTAGAATATAGATGGAAGATTATATAATTGATAACTCCTAAACAATAAGATCTTACTTTGAGTACCGTACCGGCCGGTACAGAAAGGAAACTATCCGGACGGAGTACACAGATATAATTATACTTGACGAGATAGAATTGTCAACCAATACAGTTCCTCTGTATTTCCATACGATATAATGAGGGACAAGTAATTAACCTTACTGTGTAAATTTTAATTCAAAATGAATTAACTACAGATACAAACACAAATACCAAAAATCTAGAAATAATAAACCATCAACTATTCATTTTATTCGTTCATTCTATCGTATCATCCTATCCTATGATTTTCACACCTACCACCTACCCGGTACAGAGTAGATCGCATCTCCATCTCCCTCTCCATCTCTATCTCCCCACTACTCTTCCCCTTCCCCTCTATCTCCCTGTAGGCCGCATCTCACATCTCACTCCACACTTCTCATCCTGCATTCTTCATTCTTCACAAGCCAAGCCGAACCAACCATCCAAAACACCACCACCACAATATTCCTAACCAATCCAATCCAATCCAATCCAATCCAATCCAATCCAATCCAATCCTTTCTCCTTCTTCTTTGAGTATAACATATATATTCTATTTATAATATATTCTTCATATACCTTAGAATTTATCCATCCATCCATCCATCCATCTATCCAATCATCCAACCATAGAATAATACCAAAGAAAGAAGCTAATCAATCCTAAGTCTTAATTAAGATCTTATAATATTCACCATCTCGCTTGGCTTTGTCTCTTCTCTTCTCATCTCGCGTCGCCAAGAAGGTGTATAAGCAGATGCAGATGTATAGATAGATCCAAAGAAGAAGGAGAAGAAGAAGTAGGAGGAGAAGTAGGAGGAAGGAGATAAGAATGAATTTTCATTTTCATTTTATTTTATCAAATTGAACGACAGCATGTGATACAATGAACCAAGCAAGCTATCCATTAAGCAGGGGGAGAAAGAGGAAAAGTAGATGGATAAGAGGAAGAAGGGAAGGAGAATGAATAAATGAAATACAGAATAGGAAAGTGATAATTTTTCAATGCTATTCAATGTTTGAAGATATCGAAATTTTTGCATCCAGAGTCTAGAATCTAGAATCTATGTACGTCTACCACACAAGCCAAGTAAGTATGTATGCATCTAAAGAATATAAATTCGAAGAGAATCCCCCCATTGCCATTCTCATTCCCTCACACACACACACATCAGCAACTCCTCTCTCTACCTTCATCTCCATCTCCATCTCCGTCTCATCCCCATCATTCCCGCCTTAGATCTCTGATCTCAACACCTCACCCACCTCACTATGGCGCCAATCCTCAACCTCGCCCTCGCACTCGCGATGCCCATCCTCTCAATGGCAGCCGCACTCCCCACGGGAACTGAACTCGAAAATCGCGGCAGTACCCTCACAGGCACAGCAGGAATCGTAGGAGGAACGACCGCCGCATTGGGGGAATTCCCCTACATAGTTAGTTTAACATATTCTGGATCGCATTTCTGCGGTGGTGTTTTGCTCAATGCGTATACTGTTCTTACGGCTGCTCACTGCTCTGTTTCTTATTCGGCATCTTCTGTTAAAGTTCGTGCTGGGACTTTGGTATGTTGTTTTTGTTTCCCTTGTGCTTCTTCGTTGCGATGAATGCAGAGATCATGTTTTTAAAATGATTCCCATTCGTCGCATTTCGTACTTCAAAGTTTATGTATTGACATATGATAGACCTGGGCATCTGGCGGTACACAAGTTGGAGTTAGTAAGGTTGTTGTCAATCCTTCTTACAATTCTCAAACGATCGATAACGACATTGCACTCTGGCACTTGTCAACTGCTATTCCAGCCAGCTCAACCATTGGCTATGCCAAGTTACCCGTTCAAGGTTCTGATCCTGTTGTTGGTTCTACTGTCACAGTTGCAGGCTGGTATGTAACTCCCTCTTATACGAAGTTGCTTGAACAAAGAGCTAATTAAAAGCTAGGGGTCTTTTGACTGAGAATTCATCCTCCTTACCAGCAACTTTAAGAAAAGTCTCAGTTCCAGTCATCTCTCGTTCTACCTGCCAAGCTGAGTATGGTACATCTTCTGTTACAGCCAACATGTGGTGTGCAGGAGTGACTGGTGGTGGTAAAGACTCTTGCTCTGGTGATAGTGGTGGACCAATTATTGATGCTGCTACTGGTGTTTTAGAGGGAACTGTCTCCTGGGGTCAAGGATGTGCTGAAGCTGGTTATGCTGGTGTTTACTCCAGACTTGGTAACTATGTTACTTATATTCAAAGTAACCTCTGGACTTCTTTGTAAATAGGGAGTAAATGGTGGAGTGGAAGAAAGGTCAGATCTTGAAAGAGACGAAATTGGCAGTGGAAGGTAGCATAGAACGAGATGGTGGAGCGCTGTGATAGATTAGCTAGACTTCTAAAAAATGGTGTTGTGTTGCGATATTTTTACATACTCATTGAAGTCACAGAAGTCGGTAGCGAGTGAATGTCCTTTGGATCAAGAGTCTTCCCAATTTAAAATCATAATTGATGTTTAAACAATGACCAGAAGCCTCTTGGCAAAAAAATTTTGATGTGTTCCTGCTGTCACTTCCACTAGTCGGAAACAGAAATTCGACATCTCGTGACCTTAAAAAAATTGAATCCTTTATGAGATTTCATGGTGCAACTTCGCACTATTAGCAAAAATGTATGAGACCATAGTCTATCTCGAGATATCTTACCAATGCCTGCTCACTCTCATACTCTACTCTTGATCTTTCATAAAGTTTGTGTCGAAACTGTAATCTACCCCGAAAGAACCAATCGAAGCCTGCGACACAAGCTAAAATGCAGTATATGACACTGATATAATTCATATCTATGTCATATTAGCGCAATTCTAGACGCTCTTAAAGATACTTACTGGATGTGGTCACAGGGAGATGTATTGGGAATGAGAACCTGTATGATGAGTGTTAAGATTTTCACCAAAAGATGGCGTGTGTAACTTACAGAATAAGTGCAAATAATGTCCAGATAATTGTTACTATGTTGGCAAAATGGCCATACCTACCAAGCCAAAACGGTCCATGTGAGATTGAATCACGACCTTTATAAAGCAAGCATAGGAGGGGAATAGTGTAAGATACATATGGGAGGACAATACATCCAATGATCATACTGTGGCATGTCAGAACTGACCTCCAGTTCTATATCAGAGTGTATACGGCATACCTGTTAAAAGCAGTTGTTGAAATCAAATACAAATATCCAAGTGTAGCAACGACTGTTGCACTCAAACCATGTGCACGTAATGGAACATCTAGTGTAACATTGATCTTGGCTAGAGACCTATGGAATGGGAGACCCCCATCTCGAGCAAAAGTCCAACAGAGCCGGGATTGCCATGTGTGACATGCAATCAGACAACCAATTCCAGTTGCCATGATGAGGGACTCTAGAAGGATTGCAGCAGATTTGTTGCCAAGGGACTGGTAAAATAATTCTAGGATTGGTACCCTTGTAACAGTGCCGACAATGGTATCAAAGTTATTAATACTGAAGAACATCGCAACGACGAAGAACCAAGCTGTCGTAAAACCAATCGCAATAGTAGCCATGATCGAAATTGGGATGACTATTTCGGGTTGATGAACTTCTTCTGCTAGATGCACAGCACTATCAAGGCAAGAAAATGCCCAGTTGGCGTTTACGAGACCAACGATGAAGGCAATGCCATTATTTGACCAGCCAGTATTGTTAATAAATGTTGCAAAGACAAATTTAATGTCTTGATGCGTTGGGGCTTGCGATGGTACAGCAAAGAGAATAACCCCAAAAGATATTAAAGATATGTAGAGAGTAAAGGTCCCTAGTGTAGGTAGGATTGCCCCATAGCAATTGAAAATGAAAGCAAATAGGTTGATTAGTTGATATGCAATAAAAACATGCAATTCATGAATGACACTATCGACAGGTTACTACTAAATATGGAGACAGACTACCCTTGGAAGAACTTACAAATCTGGATGATTTAACTGCCAACATCCAACTACTGCTGACGCAACCGCCAACGAGACACTTGCTGAGGCGAAAAGAGATCCAGCCCATGCACAATACCCAGTAACAAACGATAATGGCCTTGCGTATCTCTTGGGTGCTAATTCCATAGTCCAAAAATGTTGTCCTGCAGCATTTGGCATTGCACTTGCCAATTCTGATAACGAACATCCTATGCAAATACTTATAGATGCAACGAGAGGTATCCCATAGACAAAGAGAGCAGGACCACCAGAGTCAATACCTGTGATGAAGGCACTGGAAATTCCAAACCACGAATTTGTGAGGGAGAATCCTTCGCCCAATATTGACCATATAGTGAATTTACGACGCATGTCGTGATTGGTAATATCTTCATTTCCTCTTGTTGCATTTGGGATATTGTCTGGTTGGTATGTGGCAGCACGGAGTGACGAAATAACGCCAAGCTTTGGCATATCCATTATGTCGTCTGGAATCCAGTGATCCCCAAAGGATATTGGATAATGTATGAGAAGGAATCGCGTAGGGCTTCAGAGTGGTGAATTGAATTGGGCTTGCCAATATCCAAGCTGTTGCTGAGATTGTTGATCTCGCGCGTAGTATCTTAGGAATGTCAACTTCTGGAGAATCAAGTTTGCGGAACCACAATCATTGTTTATTCCGTAGCTGTACCGATGAAAATCGCATCCATGAAGATTAATTCTCACTCCTTAGAGAGGATATATCTATTCGAGTATCATGGAATGTCCTATTGTGGCAATTTGTTCCATCAATCACCCACTTTTGAGTAGAAGATATGGAGGAGGGAGACTTGTTGTAGATAAGAGGTTGTACCTCAAAACCTTATCGCTATCATCGTTTGGAAATGAGCGGAGGTCGCAGGGTTAAACTATGCAGATATACCTAGCCGGTATATTAGACGGCAATGAGACACTGTCGTTTCACTCCATGATAGTGAGATTATACGTGGGTTTTCCAAGGTTTCAAAGTTAGCTGGGAAAGTAAGTGCACGTGAATGCCTTGGCTAGCCTCATTCTTGTCTTGAATCAACGATCAACCACATGCCAAGCCTGTTTCTCAAACGAATACGATATATGATACGCGGGCGACTTGTCGACAAAATAAATGAAGCAAAAAAAAGAATAATCTAACGAACATCATGTGGCGGCCAACGATACAGTGCTGTTAATCCTGTCAGCTGAGACAGCCAGATCGAAGTCCGTCTTGAAGTTTATCCGCGACGATGTTGTAGAAATACCACGTTCTTAAAGTATTGGTAGATTATTGGTAGATGTGATTTAATATCAAGTCGTCGATGAAAAGGGTGTGGTCTTTGATCCTGATACTGTTCGTCCTGTAAAGTAACACAGCATGAACGCACAACCTCTGTGACACCATCAGCGAGGCGGAGCTTTCTCGAAGCGTCCTCGGAGATGAGGTGATGACTCTCACAGATGATCTTCCCAGGAACCCCTTTCTTCAACATCCACGTTGACAATATAAAATTGTTTCAAACTATATACTCTTGTATATATTCCCGTCTACCAAACTCTCTATCTAGGAAGGCTAAAAGAGATCAATATCACGTGATTCCAACTGTGGGACATCTGAATCCAAAATTACGGGTGGTGGAACTGAGGAAATTGCCATGTTTTATCTTCAAGCCCTCTGTCTTGGGCGCACCCTATTGGAGAAGGAAAAACAAAAGACATAGGGGGAAAAGATACACAGATCATTGGGCTAGGACTAATAATTACGAAAATTGTTAAATAATTGTTACATGTTTGCTCGGCACCCAATGAAATGCGATATTTGGCTTGCAATAAATATATGTACCTATCTATCTATATCTGTCTAACAAAACTAAAGTATACGTACGCAGCAGCAAAAAACTCCAAAAACGACACCTGTGTGATTCGAACACACGCTCCCGAAGGAAATGCCTGACTCTGTTTATACAGTAGCAGGGCATCGCGTTAACCACTCCGCCAAAGTGCCAGCTTTTCTGCTTGTTACGGTAGTTAACAGTATAAATACCTGGTTTGCTTGCGCGAGGGGAAATGGTGGGGTAAGGTTAGTGGGGTTATCAAATACAACAACATCACATAATAATCGAATACACCTGTCTAATTTCATAGCTCTCATCAGTGTGTATATTTAGATAAGAATTGAAAATACGATAATGATCCAGCGGAGTCATAATGCAAATCCGAGCTTTTCACTCAAGTAAGATCTTACCTCAGCACTCTCCAATATCCTAGCTAAAGTTGGATTTGACATCAAATAGTCCTCAAGCTTCAATGCTTAGATAAGATTTCATGTCGATATTCTCTGCACTTTACTCCATTCTTCATTCTTCAAATGATGGATGAATCCCAACTGGTAGACAATGGTAGCTTACTGCCTATGAATTTCTACACATCGTTCTTTCCTTCTTCGTTCCTGTTGAAATTCCTTTCTCACACTCCCTCGTCTGGTAGATATTCTTCAGATTGCTAATAATCCACATCGCATGTACTTGCTCCTGTTCTCCTCCCCTCTTTCCCTCATATTAAACACCTTTTATAGTCAAGCCAGCGATATTGTGAAGTTGGAGAATACTCGACATGGCTCCCTCATTCCTTCTAGAATACTTCTACCATGTGATTTCTCGTTAGTTTTTGTGTCTTTGCGCATATTTCCAGGTAGTCTAGGGAGTGACTGCACTTTCCTTTCCTTTTCTGCTACCCTGTGTTCTCTCGTACACTTCTGCGTGTCTACGTAGTATCATCGGTCACGTCTTCATTTACTGGGGTCTTTCTGTTTGCCTCTTCAGACCTGTCGAGGTTCTTTCCTCACTTCCATTCATGCACAAATTATCTTCATCTTCATCTGCTGGTTTGCCAATCTGAACACATTCAATTGGTAATGGGGAACCTCAGCCGTAAGGAATTCATTGATGCTTGCTCATTATTCCTATCATATATCTCCTAAGGATTCTTTTTGCTATCGCAGTCCTAGAATACTGGGACTATGAATCATAACTTTCTAATACAGCAACTAGCTGTTATCTCTCAATTAAGCTCAATCCACTTTCCCTTGTGCTCATGAGAGAAAGGGGTTCCTGCCTTGCAAGTATTAGTATACATCGCCGATCCCGTCGTCCAGCCCAAAATCCTCAGGATCACGATCGATCGAATGATTTCCTCCCATTCTGCGATCCCGAGAGAAAGAACCAAATAGCACTTTCCTCACTCCAAGCACAAAGCAGCAAATTATTCAACAAATAAATCTCCCAATTGCCTTCATACATCTACGAGTTCCCTTGTAAAAGGAAAGTGCCCACCGAAACCCAAAATAAATGTTTGGATCTCGGCGGCACTATGAACTCGAAGGCTATCTACCTCAATTTGAATGTTCTATTTACCCTCCATTCCTCCTCTCACACCTTCCCTTCCTTTCCACCTTAACCTCCACCTTCCCTCCCACCCAACACACACACATTCATCCAAGCTCGCCAAATCCCAAAAATCCTATATAAACCCCTCCATCCCCATTGCTTTTCATTTTCTTTTCTCCTCAATTCTAGACAACAGGCCCGTCTTTTGCTCATGAATGTTAGACGGGGTTATGTATGGAAATATACATTCCAGGGCACTTCGGTGTCTCTCCTGTCCAATTTTTTGTTTTTACTACCTTTTACCGGGTCCCTTTTTTCCCATTGAGTGATCAGCTTTATGCTGGCGCTTGAAGAAGATTTTAGGTGTTTGATTGCTGTGTTGATGTTCATGCTGATGTTGATGTCGGTGTGGCTTGGTGAGTGTTGTATTTTCTGTACGTACCTTTTTCCTTTTCTCTCTCCTCTCTTTGAATGTCGTGACGATAATATTTTGCTTTGTAGATCCTTTACGATATTCGGCGTGGATGTATCACTTGTGCTTTTGTGGTGGATTAGTTAGTGTTAGCTAGATTTCTACAATTACCGAGTTTTAGGAAATGGGATTGAATGTACTGTACTGTACCTTTTTCCTGTACGATAGATTACGACTGAGATGCTGACTAAATCAGGATCGTCCGGGCGGTTGGACGTTTTTCCTATTCTATATTAAAGATGTTTGAGATGTTGAGGATATAGATAGTAATATGTAATAATAAATGATAATGTAGATGTTGCATGACAGGAATATGCGATATAAATGATATTGTAGATAATGACCTAGTAGATGATAGCGTAAATGTTGATAACAACTTGGGAGCTCTAGATATGATTATATAAATGATGACAAGATAATAATAGAATGATGAAGAAATAGTATATAGGGTAATTAGTATTAGCTACTGGAAAGATGTAGGCTGCGCAAAAATAACCTGCAGGTTGCGGATATCCATAAATAATCCGTTTTGCAAACTACTCAATAAATTTACAATCCGCTTTACAAATTATCTATTAATTTATAATTAGATATAATTTATATAAAATAAATATAATTTATAAAGATTGACATAAAAACTAATATGAAAAATATAAAAATAGCTTTATAAATTTAAACAGATATCATTTGTAGATAATCTATAAATAATCTATATATAATCCACAAATAACCTACAGATAATCTGCAAATTATTTACAATTTATCTATTCAGATTCTTCAATTACCTACTTCGCAAATGGATTATTCGTAGGTTACCTTTCAAGGGCAATAATCCGCTCTGCGGGGCCCCGTTGCGCAGCCTAAGAAGATGTGATATAAACGGTGATGTAAATGGCATAAATAGTAGAGATGATGATTGAGATATTTTTTGACGAGAATTCATGTTGTACATGATATTACAGATAGTGGTGAGATCGTAGGATGGATAATGTACGGCGATGAGATGTATCCTATGAGTTGCGGTAGATAATTAATAGTAAGATTTAAATGAGAAGATACAAGGTGCTGAAGTAAATGATTGTAAAATAATTATAAGAATGTAGATTTCCCTTGTCTGATGAATCGCTGTAGTAGATTGATTGGCTTGTTAAATCGTTCTGCTGGTTGGTCGATACGTTTTAAATTATACAGTATATAACTGTTTTTTTGTGTGTAGTCTATGCCTCCTTTTGTTGTGTGGGGTCGGAATACAAGCGAACTCCTAAATGGCATCATCTGCGGTCAGAATAAGTTGTGCCAGTCCGGATGCGTTTTGGACGATTGGATTGGATTGGAAGGTACTTGTAATACTAACTATGTTCTATTTATTATGTGCTCAAAGATTGTTGTCCTATTATTTAAATATTCGTGCCCGTAGTGAAGCAGTCACTTTGAGCCAGCATGATGATGTCTATTTCGTGTGATTACTTGGATTAAAGAATGTGTGCCAAGATATGTTGCATTTGAATCAAAAACAAATGTACAAAGTCGTACAGATAATAATTGAAACCCAAAAATGAATGAATGAAGGAGATGAAACCATAATGGAATCTCACACATGGGAACACCTCGATTTTATACGTCTTTTTTTTAGTGCAATCACTCGAGCAATCCAAGTACTAATCCGAATTTGCCATGAAGTGAGAGGTCTAATCGATCGTTAATGTTGGCACAACGATATCTGTCATTTACAATTTCCGGCCTAGATCACGAGGCAAATGAATCCGTCAGTGTATAGCGCTCTCGTTTTAGAAACCGTTGGTCACTCGCTTGAGCTATCACGGCATTCAACCAACCAAAAGTTTCTCAGAAGGATAAATGAGATCTGTCATTTACATTTTTAGCTTAGATTGGATTTAAAAATGAGCGGCTCACTTTCTAGCGCTCTAGTGACTTCAACGGCAAAAAGCTTAAGATTTAGGTAAAGAACGGGTATGGACTAACGAGTGGTGTCGTTGAAAGAAGAGATGATAGGCTAGAGACGCCGGATGGGGTAAGTATGTGTTAAACTACTGCCATCAGTTTCTGCCGATTTGTCGGGTTTCGAAGTTGATCTGGGATAGAACTATGACTCGCGTCTTGAAAGCATGTCTCTGCTCTTAGTCTCAGCCATGCATTTTGCATCTGGTTCCTGCCGCTACAATGATCTTGTTTGGGATTGCTGAGGTTCTAAATCACGGTATTCGTGATATCGGAAAAACCATAACCCTCCACATTATCATGACCA